TTAATCTAAGTAATACTAAGTAATTAGTTTTAAGAGTTTTACTCTTAATAATTCCTTATATAAAGATACTACTTATTACTACCTTATAGCATTTAAACCTAACTTACTTCCTAAGAAAAAGACTAACTGTGGATTAGGGATAAGCTATCGTTATACTAAGTTCTTAATAATAAAGGCTAAATTTTACAACGTAGGATTTAAATCTTATCACGTAGCCTATACTTAATTAGGAATATCTATATAAGGTCCCTATATAATTTTATAGGGGATTGTAAATAGATTAGGATAAGCCTGTATTATGTTTTTGCGTGCCTCTTAGGCTACTGCCTCTGACTCTGGCTGCTAATTAATGCCTTAAGCCGTGATGCTACTGCTGCTGCCGCCGTGCTGCTGCTGCTACCTCTGCCTCTGGCTGCCTATTAATGCCTTGAGCCGCCGCCGCCGCGTTAGCTGCCTTTGCCGGAAGCCGGAGAGCCTTACACTAAGTGAGGCTATCGTGTAATTTGTCTTATTATGTTAATGTTAATGTTAATAGAAGATTTACTATTATTGATTAAATTACTCTAGTTAAGCTCTTATAGCTTATCTAGTACTTCTATATTTTATAATAATAAGAAAAACTATAACTAAATAACTAGGCTAGTACTTTACTATATTAGATATAGACTTAATTTAAGTAAAAACCTACCTTTCTTTATATTTTATTTATTATTATATTCTAATTTTTAATATTTATTAATAATTAATTATATTTTATAAATAAAATATTAACTTATTATTAAAGGTTATATTTTATATTATTTATTAAGTAATTATTTTATATAAATATATTTAAATTTATATTATTTATATATACTTTTAAATAGTTAATAAGTTTTATTATTATTATTTATTTATAATTATAATTTTTAATATATAAATAACTTTATCTTTAATTATATTAAAAATATTAAAATAATATAATAGTTAATATATATCTTTTAACTTTTTTTATTTAATAAGACTTAAAATTACCTTATTTTATATCTTTTATAGATTAGTTATTATTACCTAGCTTCTAAAAATTAGAATAAAGTACCTCTAATAGGATTTAAACCTATAACCTATATACTAACCTATATAGAACTCCCTAATATAGAACTACTATACTATAGAAGCGATTTACTATTATTAATAGAAGAAATAAAGGTATATAATAGGTATTATAGTAGCCTTAATAACTCTAGCCTCTAATTCGTTAGAAAGATTCCTAGTATTATACTAATGTAGTGCTAGCTACTAGTATAATACTAAGTCTAAAATAGTATAGTGTTACGTAGTTAGATTTAAATCTTACGTTGTAAATTTGGTCCTCCTTAATAATTGCCCTTTTCCCTATTTATCTACGATCTTTTTATTACTTCTAGATCTAGGTATATAGCTAGGTTACTAGGCAATGAGATACCTAAGTAGGTATCTAATTAACCAGTAACTACCTACCTATCTACCTTAGTATTTAGTAAGGTACCTAGCTAGAAGCTATAGTAGATAGTAATAAGTATAATTATCTTTCTAGGTAGCAGTTCTATAATAGCTACTAGCTTTAGAAAGGTAATTATAGTATATTACTTTATATTAACTAGGGTTATAGTTATAGTTATCTTCTAGAATCTATTATAAATCTATTATAGTATTTATAAGGCTAGAGTTTTAGCTCTAGCTTAAAAGTAATATCTTTTTACTTCTATTTAGGTATAGCTTTAGTTGTGATACCTAGAGGAGGGCTTATACTTATTACTATCTACTATATAGCCTACTAGGTTGATAGGTATAGGGGGGACCAAAAAAAACTGCTGCCTACTTATCGTTAATGCTGTGTTTTTAGCTGTAGCTATCTACTAGAAGAAGCTTATAAATAATTCTTAAAATATAGAGTATATATAGTAGGTCAGAAGTAATTCCACTTATAACCCTAAATCCCACTAAAATACCCACTTTTTAAACTAAGGTATTAATATATCCCCTTCTATATAAAGATAGAAGTACTAGATAAGCTATAAAGCTTAAATAAGGTAAATTTAATTAATCTACTTCTATATTAATTATATATTAAAAATCTAAAAATAGAAAAGTAGTTAAAATATAAAGTAAAAAATCCTTAATATTTTTACTTATCTTAATAAGTTAGTTATTATTTAATAAAGTTAGAGAAGATAAAAAAGGTAGATTTTACTAGTAAAATTATTTCTTAAGTTTTTATTTAAATATACTAATTAATGAAAACTTTAAGGAAATTTTCTAAAAATAGCTATATATACTTTAACTATTAAAGAATTTAATTATAATTATTAAAATAAGTACTAGATCTTATACTATTAGTAGTTTAAAATAAGGCATTTTAGTAGGGTTTTAGGTCACCAGCGGAATTACTTGGATGCACTGTATTTACCTAAGCTAGAGCCTATAGAATTTTTTTAATCATTTCAAAGCGGCTTCTTACTATGAGTTTGGCATTTTAGAAGTAAGCTGCCTTTTCAAAACCAGCCAGTTTTTTTGTCCCCCCCCCCCCCCCCCCCCGACGATGGCATAGCCAGGCTAACCACCTCCATTATTATCGCTCCACTTTTACTTGACTCGTCCACGAAGTACGCAGGAAAGCCGCCCACTTTTACCCAAGGCTAGACTGGCAAACTGGTTCAGCCGACTTCTCAGTTATCAGTAACTAGCTGAAACTGCGAGCTGGCTGCTCATCGCCCATCATTGCACTGTCTGCCTCGGCTTCCTGCCGCGTTCTCTTGAAACGCCTACATACGCGTCTTGCTGGCTCCGCTGGGTCTCGTCACTCCAACCTGTCGCCGGTCACTCAATATTCATTGTCATGAGGGATAAGCATGCCCTATCTGTCGGTCAGTTATATATGTCGAAGGCGACCGATTACGCTTTCAGGGCATGGAGCAGCTGAGAGCATGTTCTGTCAACACGTAGCGAGGCACCTCCAATCTAGGCCCATCCGCTAAATACAGCAAAGACCAGTTTTGTCAGCGATTGTTACTAGGTAGTGATGAATCCTATGTTGAGGGATTTCTATCTGTTTATTTCGCAAATAGCGGACGCAAATAGCGAACTAATAGTGCAACCTGCAGTACACTGTCGCTCTCCGCTGTCTATGACAGACGGGGCATTTGTCTCCCAGATATCTGTGTGCGAGCCATACTTCACACCAAGACGGTCCGCTTTCTCGAGATCAGACGATAGGAACAATCTTTGACATCGAGCTTTTCTCATGGTATCCTAGTATGTCAGGAGGGTCTCGGGACCGACGATCATCGAACTTCTCCTCATAGCCAGTCTCTGCCTGTGTGGAGAGGGTGTGACCACATCCCATTGAAGGTGTCACTGCTACAACGCGGTCCTCTGGTACTTGGTCTGGGCTCTGAGTTACCGACTGCGTCCCCTTTGTTGCTTTGTTGCCTTTTCTGCCTTTTCGACTCTTTGCTTTAGCTTTTTCCAATAGACGTCGTCTATCTACCTCCTCTTGTCGAACTCGGCGGTCTTTCATCTCGTATTCTCGTATCAATGCCTTCGGAGGGCTCCCAAATATGCGTTCGTATTCGCAGAACTCGCAAATCCAGACATCTTCCAGCCTTGGTGGATTGTGATGGTAAGCATCCACAGCGGCTTGTCGGCGATTGAGAGCGGCCAGCATGAGATCTTTTTCAAGCTGACGGTAATTATTGGTGATCTTTCGTTCTTCTCCAGTGGCTTTGTCGCTGAAAGCCGCATCTGCTGGCCTATTTCTCTCTAAATCCAACTGCTTTGGCAGTGCACATTCTGCAGAGCCACTCGTCGTCGGTGAGGTATCTAACGAAAGTAAGCCTTGACGCTACCAGTGTCGTTTACCGGAGAGGCATACCAGGCCACAACGCCTTGCCCATCACCTGTGATCCGCAGGTGAAGGTGAACTGTGAAGCCATTGGTGTAGCTTTCCCTACATCGAAATGATGTTGTAATAAACTGCCCGTATTCTCCTGGCCGAAAGGGGCTATTCGCTTTGCATCCGCGATAGCGGTAGAAATAATGCCGCTTGTTCTATGACCTGCGCGAAGGATGTCAGCTGCTGCTCTTGGATTTATGGCTCCTAGATCACGAAAGAGCTTTGATGTCCATTCAGTCTTGCGTACCATTAACTGAATGGTGGAGCCCTGTCTTCAATGGTTTGCTCGGCCACGTAGTATTCCCGTCAGAGAGAGTTCTTAAGGGACTTCTCGTATGTACGGTGCGGCCTAGTCTGCCGCGCCCGGGGCCAGAGATCCCATCACTGTGCATGGACAATGATCCAGGCACGGCAAATGTAGGTGCAGTCGCCTGTTTGCCGTCATCTATTCTACCCCCTAGCCCCAATATCTCGACAGATCCGCTGCTGGTAAACAGAGATCCTCGCAGAGAGGCATCAGAAGCTGATGGAATCTTGCGTTTCTTCTTATTGTTCGTATTCTCGAGCAACTCGTAGCCATTTGTAGACGACACAGCGGGAATAGCTTGGCCCGAACAGGCTCTATGGCCGAGTGGACCGTGGAATTTGGTGGCTCCATGCGGAGATTGTTGCAGCTGTATTTCAGAAGTAGAACTGATAGCCAAGGGTTCACATCCGTTGGAACCAACGAGTTCCAAATTATCAACTAATCCGCTTGGGGGCTTTTTTGGCTCCCCAAATGCTTTCAGCAAATCGTGCGGCGGCCCTCTAGCGGCGATTGTCGGATAATGAAACAGAGGGATGCTGTGGACGGTTACAGAAGGGTATTCAATCGTTTGGATAACCTCGGGCGATAGCTTCTCCCGGAGCTTTCGCTTAGGAAGTGGTCGGATGTGCCTCTCCGGGAAGAGAGACAGAACTCTGTCTGGTGGCATGCTTCACAAGATTGCCTCTGCTACAGTTACATGCTAATTAGCCTCAGAAATAGTTGCCAATATGCGCAAAAATGAAAAAAAAAAATGCTGACTTCCTTCGCTGACATCTTACCTTTCAAACATTGTATATATTCGACAGCAATCCTACCTGGTGCCTGGACGCAAGCGCCGCAGCAAAGCTGGGCGATTAGGCGTCGCACCCCACTGAAGCTCTCTCGGTAGTTTCTTCGAGATGATACAATTTCGCCTGCGTCAAAGATTGCAGCTTTGGTGATCGTGCAACAATAGTTCTCAATACGCTAGAGCTTGCACTGTAAATCGTTAGATCTTGACTCGATGTATGACCCGTTTCTCCAGCCCAGAAAGCGTCTTCTGCATGTTGTGCCTTGAATTGGGTCTGTGGACTATTGGAAGCCGGAAATTTTACCTATTTGAGGAACAAGAAAGGCGCCGAACTTCAATACTAGGTATGGTGTAGCGGCTGGTAGAGGCAATGGCGGTTGATCTTCAGCTGCAGATTTTAGAATATGCTGCTAGAATCAGTCCTAAAGCAGATGCTGCCGGATTGTCGTCCTCGTCCTCGTCGCGGAATTCGTGCGAAAAGAAATGCCAGATCCTCGCAGCTTCTCCCGGCGGCGCTCTCTCGAATGTAGTCGTTAGGCACACATTGCCACAGCTTGTGGATAAGGACTAAGGAGGCGTACTGGCAGGGCAAACACTGGAAATTAGGTAAGCAGCCCGTTGGCATCGAAAAGTGTTGATCGTCGTTTTCCAAGGCCCCTACATAGCACATATAAATGAAAATTTTCGTTGACTTGCGAAATGTGAAACCTTTGGCTACTTCGTTAATTATCCGAAGCTATATCGCGGTGCGAGTGGAATGATTCAGCAACAAACATCCCAGGCGTGAGTGCGTGCAAGTCGAGCTACACTGGTGAACTTCAACACCATGCAGTTACATATGGAGGAAAACCAAATATTAACTGTGCAACTTTACCTCTGACAGACCGCAATATTGATTTTGTCTTATTTCCTCATGTCATAATCTCTATAGAGGTACCGTACGGCCAGATGGCGTAAATGTAATATCAGGTTAGACAGTGATCTAAATGTACTGGCAACCCAGAATATATATAATTATTTACATATATATTAAAAGTTATATATATAATATAATCAATATTAATATTAGTTCTTAATAATAATATTAATTAATTACTAATCTTTATTAGTTATTAATATTAACTAGTCATTAGTATTAAAGGTATTTTAAGGGGAAATAAGGGGAAGAGGAGAGAAAGGGAGGTATAGATAGAAGAGTAAAAAAAAGGAAAATAGTAAGAATTCACTCTTATAAGATTTTAATCTTAATATAATCTATTTCTTAATATCTTTTAGTTATTAACCTAGATTTTAAACTTATATAGATAGAATATTAGCTAAGCTAGGCTAGTAGCCCTGTATAGGCATAGAGGGTATGTCTAGAAGCCCCCCCCTCCCGCGTAGGTAGTCGACACGCTAAATACCCAGGTACATAGGTAGGTAGGTAATACCAGTTAGCGGCTCGATCTGGGAGCCAATTTCATCCTCCACCACATTTTGATCCTACAACCTGTGAGCCATTCTGCCGCTACTGTTTACGACGGTCGCAATGTTTCATTGCTGTGTGGCAAGCCCATATCGAATTGAAAGCTGTCGCGGAGTTCTTTCTCCCTAATTGTCACAACAGTGTGGCCATCAACCTTAGCCGCCCCGCGCACGACTGGAACAACACAGCGCAACCGCGAGTCGCACACAATAGCACCCTCTCAATCAACGCACCAAGACCTCACAAGTGGACGGCTGTATTGATACCTCGCTCTATTCATACAACCACTAATACAGCAGTCGAGATACCCGACCCACGTGCCAGCGCGCGCTATCGTTTTTGCCTTCTCGATGGCACCTCCGTCCCCGAGACGTTCCTCTCGAGCTCGCGCTGCTTACCCCCAATCACAACAATTATCCATATCCTCCGGCGTATCCGGACGCTCTGAGAGGAATACGCGATCTCTCCATCGTCCTTCTTCTGACAAGTCTACTCCAAGCGCTTCCTTATCTTCTGAGCCACTGGAAGACTCCGAGGAGGGTCTGATGCCTCGTCGTCGACGACGCGGACTCGACGACGATCCAGAAAAGATACTTCAGAGCGATATGATGGATGGAATGGTCAACGCAAGTGATGAGATGCAAGACGAAGAAGATGAGGCTGTTCGATGCATCTGCGGCTCGGAGGACTACCCGGGGCGCCCGCCCGTGGACGGCCCTGACGCAGATTTATTCGCATCAGTAGACCTTACTGCAGAAGACGTTACAGGCTTTTTTGTTCAATGCGACGTTTGCAAAGTTTGGCAGCATGGCGCGTGTGTGGGGATATTTAGTGCGGAGAGTTCGCCTGATGAATACTTCTGCGAGCAATGCCGACAAGATCTTCATAAGATCGCTGTTGCGAATAACGGGTACGTTGTGATTCCATATATCAGCTAGTCACAACACTGCGTTTCTTCATACAGGCACTCCTACTGGCCTCGTACTCTACCCTCGACCACAACTATCCGGGGAGTTAGGCGCGAGTGAGCCTCATGGCGTGAGGTTACTGTGCTAATGTACGCTTCCATAGACAAAGATATTCGAAATACCTACCTTTGCATCGGCAATCACAACCAGCCTCTCGCGCAACTTCAGTGATCAGAGATGGCGCGAAGTCCCCTAAGTTCTCTAGCAAAGCGTCACGCGCCGAACAAGCTCTTCAAGCCTCGAAAAGACGTTCTACGATGAACAGCCGCGATGCAGCATATGACGATGAGCTACTTCTCCGCGCGATCGAGGCCAGCAGAGAGAATGTTCCACAAGATGTCGAGCCAGGGAATCGCCGAGCGAAGCGTGGTCGGAGTGACAGCGAAGAGTGAGATGACCGTTGTACGCTTCTTTGGCATATTGCTTACTGTGCTGGCAGGAATCAAGCAAGCGTTAAACGCCAGCGCACCGCATCCCGATCTGTATCCCCCGCGACGGAACCCGTGGCAGAGCACAGTCGGGACGAGTCTGACGATGATACAAGCACAAGAAATGGAGCGAAGAAGAATCGCTCGCACAGAGGAACTAAAGTCAAGTCAGAAAAAGACGATCGAGAACGCCAAAGGCAGGAAGCAGCGAACAAACGAAAAAACCGCGCTGAGCGACGCCGTGCGGAAGGTAAGGCACTATTGTGCCGCCGACCGACATGTGAGATTGCTAACTCGCCATCAAGATTCGGACATTTCAGAAGAAACACATTTGGCTACGACTAAGCCGGTGGCACCCAAAGCTAGTGAAGCTTCATCAGCCTCTGCACCTACCCCTACTGTTACCACCAATGCACCTGGAACACCGCCACCAACCAGTACCACGATCGGCAGTTCACATAAACGAACCGCAAAGAGCCAACAGAAACGAATCAGAGGCAAGAATCAGTATACCAAAGACCGCGAAGAGGTCGAAGAATCGCCTGCTCGCTCAGAATCTCGAGATTTTCAAAGGACTGCAGAAGAGTCACATCCCAAGTCTCCTTCGAGCGACACACGGCAGAGCTCCAAAATTAAACCCAGCGCTGCAAGTAAAATCACAATGGTGGATATGAAAAGAAGGGTTGCCGCGATTATGGAATTTATTTCTCGCACACAAGTTGATCTCGCGGCAGAAGCAGCTTGTCAAACAAATTCAAGTTCTGGGGAGGCTAGTCCACAGAAAGTATCGATGGATAATGGAGATCAAGCCAAGGGTTCCGGCGGTTTGGATCATACTGCGGAAGGCTCTATAACTGACAAGGAGTTTCGGAACTTGGCGTGCGTGGAAATGATGGATGTTTTGACAAGGGACATGGTCAAATGGCAAAATCACTATACGTAGTTCGCCGTTCATGGCTGGCTTTTATTCCCTGCTTGATCTTTTCGATCTGATCTGCGATGGCGTCTATCTATATGTCTGGAGTGCTTGAGTTGGCTTGTAGCGATGAGTTATGGCGAGAGGCTGCTCGGATGTGTCTCTTTGAATCTCAGTCATGGCAGGTGTCCTCCTGTTAAAAGCGGTAGCCTAGACCTCGCCCTGCTTACTATTTCCTCTGCCATCTGACGATCATTAATGGGTTTTCAACGACTGAAATAAAGACAGGTATATTTTACATATTATAAAAGATTGAGTTTGAAATCTTGGGTATCGTGTCATCAAAAGGCGTCTGGGTTTCGAGGAACTAGTTCGTCTCTCGTGTCTGCCTTCTTTCCAGCTTTTGCTGCTTCTTTGCCTGGCTTATGCTTTGGGGCGGCTGTTCAATGTTGGCTTGGTGGGTTAAAATGCCACGCCCAGAGAGATCATCCAGGACATAGCGCCCAAGCTTTCCTTGACGCCACTGTGAAAGCACTCTCGCGGCTGCTTCAGTGATATTCGCGGTACCTCCCGGTCTCAATTTCCCATCCTTCTTTGCGACAGCGGCGAGGAACTCGTGAACGTCGTTTGTGGGCTCACAATATCGTTGGTATAGTTTGGGGTCCCATCTGTTCATGCAATACAGAAGATAGTCTGCTAAAATTTCATCATGTATGAGTCCTTTTTTAATGCCGTGAGCCAGTGCAACTTTGATCATAGTTTCCCCGTCCTCGACATAGGGCTGGAAGATTCCGGGAGAGTCCATTAAGAAGACACCGCCGCCGACACCGCCTCTGTCTTCCGACGGGACAACACGAACTGCGGTCCCGATCTTGCGTGTCACACCGGCCTGATCGCCAGTCTTCGCGGCTTTTGCCACCTTGCCTGATAATCCAGCATTGCGTAGGGAGTTTAGTAAAGTGCTCTTGCCCACGTTCGGCATCCCAACAACCAGGGCTCGCAGGCCAACCAAAGAGTCAACGACGCGTGCTGAGTCTTTCAGTTTCTTCAATAACGCTGTAGTAGTGGCCGGCTTCTGCTTGTCCCAGAAGACCGCACTGTCTCCGTACATCTCCTTCAGTGAATGCCGCGCAGTAGTACTGTCGGTACCCAGATCGGATTTGGTGTAGACTACGATGCGTTGCCGTCCTGCAATTGCCCTCTCGAGACTCGGATTCTGGGTAGATAGTGGCAGTCTGAAGTCTCGGCACTCCAGTACGATTGAGATATTTGGGAGAATTGTCTTGATTTTGGAGGCACCAGCCTGATGGTGACCCAAGAAGTATGTTTTTGGTATGGTTTCAGGAATTTGAAAGATGGATCTTGGTACGAATTGTGCCATTGCGGCTAATGTGGCGAAAATGTGGGAGTATTCGACAGTATCAATCCCAAGTCGGTGTCGGGTTTGATTACTCTGAAGAAGGTCGCGCTGCAGCTTCTGCTTCCAGGTTCTGCGCTTGGGTCATTAGCTGGGATTCGGGAGACAACGGCACCGACGTGAACGCCACGTGCCGATAAGATTGGTGCCCACTCATCGTGAGAAACAGTCACCACGTCACTATATCTCTTGGCACAGGACTACTTTCAGCTCGAAGAAAATCGCTGGCCGCAGAACATTGCGGCGCTAGTAAAGTTTAGTCGATTTGCGTCTTTTAACTACTCCAAAGACAAGCACTAAAGCTGCTTGTTGCTGCGGCTGGGTACATGCGTTAACTCTCCTGGCCGCCTTGGTTTGCAATGTGCCGTGCCGTTACAATTCCTAATAGCTAGTCGCTAGAGACACTGAATGCTTGGCAAGCAGCTGCCGCACTTCACCTCCGTACAAACTTCGCTGGGCAAGCTCCTTCTCTCTCCCTCTTTGCGCTCTCGCCAGGACTTCATTCGTCTCAAGAATGGCACGACCAGGCGATTATAAGCCCCCTGTCACAGCACAGGTCAGTGGTGCCGAATACGAGTCTGGTCACGGAGGTGTTCTTGAACCTGAGCAAGGACAAGGGGTTCGAGTCACATCGTGGACACGGCATTTTGCTAAGGGCGGTCGCCTGCGTCCATTTCGCCTCCTGAAGGTCGATTTTCGGAACTTGAGGGGGAGGTACGTGTCGGACTGGGCAATTTTTAACCAGCAGGTTCTCGCCAGTGCCGTCTATGTTTTCTTCACCAACCTTCTACCTGGCATCACATTTGCTAGTGACCTGTACGTCCTCACTGGCAATTCCTGGGGAACCATAGAGGTGGTATTCAGCACTGGCTTGTGTGGCTTGGCCTTTGCATTGTACGTTTGATCGACTCTACTCATCCATTACATTCTCACGACTGTTCAAACAGACTCAGTGCGCAACCACTGTGCATATTAGGCGTAACTGGACCATTTTCTGTTCTCGCAGAGAATATCTACAAACTATGCAATGAGCACTTCCACGTAAGTCACATCGCTGAGGGCTGTTCCTGTAGCTATATTCTAATGCCCGAGACAGGTTGATTTTCTGTCAGTCATGGCTTGGTCACTCATCCATGCCGGCTGGATGCACTTCCTCTTAGCCTTATTCAATGCTCACGATTGGACCATGCAATATGTCACACATTTTACTGCCGACATATTCTCACTGCTGAACAGTGTCATCTACTTCCACAAAGCAGCTCTCGAGCTAAAACGCACACACTCGCATGTGTCTTTAGCAGCCTTTCTCTATGCAGTGATCGGCGCGTTCGGAACATGCATTCTAGCTATCCTCTTCTCGACGGCGAACTCGTGGCAACCGCTATTTCATCGCTACGTTCGACTAGGGCTATCCGAGTATGCGGCAGCAATATCGATCATTCTCTGGATAGGCATTCCACGCATTGGGGAACTTGCCTCTCTGGATCACGAACGTCTGGAAATCCAGACAAGCTTCCGCCCAACCGACCCCAATCGCGACACGTTCTTCGTCAAATTCTGGAAACTACCTGTAGAGTGGATTTTTCTTTCTATTATACCAGGGGCCATTATAACGGTGTTGTTTTATTTTGATCACGAGATCAGCAGCATTATTTGTACTGTTCACCGGTACGGCATCCGCAAGCCTGGTGGCTTTGCCTGGGACATTGTTCTTTTGGGTATCACAACAACGCTCTGTGGAATTCTTGGTATCCCACCTGCCAACGGACTTCTTCCACAGGCACCACTGCATTCGGAATCATTGATGCACTACGTGGAAGCCGACGCTGCTGACATGGAGCTACGTGGAGACAATACGCCACCTCAGGTTGCCAGAACATACGAACAGCGTTTCTCTCCGTTCTTACAGGCAGCTTTCATTATGATATTTGTTTCTCCACCATTCCAGAAAGTTCTCGGTTTAACACCGACATCTGTCCTGGCTGGTCTCTTCATGTTTATGGGCTATCAAAGCCTCACTGTGAACCCAATTCTTCAAAGAGTCGCCAAGCTCTTGACACCGTCGAGTGAATTGCCACCTCTGGCGTTCAACGTAACTTGGCTGGGAATGCATACATTTACTGTCACACAAATCATCATAACTGGTATTATCTTCGGCGTTACGTTAACAGTGGCAGCTCCAGCTTTTCCGTTGATCATCATCGCACTGGTCCCATTGCGACTTGCACTTATGAATAAGGTGTGGTCCCAAGAAACTCTACGCGCCGTTGACGGATGGGCTTGCCGCCCTGGCAAGCCAGAGGACTTGAGTGAAAAGGCAACCGTTGCCGATCCATGAGAAATCGGGGCCCCAGAACGTGTCATATCCTTGTTCATGACTATGATACACTGTATGAGACTCGTGGGCACTGAGCGAGCAGGAGCGGCGGGGCACCAGCACTTAGTCGCTAGTTCACATTTGTATTTATATAGATGTAACTTGATCGCATCTTGCTATGAGTAGTTGCTGCTAGCGTGAGGCCGTGCAATCAACCCCTATTCTTCGCAATCAATCGGTCTATTCTACTATGCATACCGTATAGAATCTGCTCAACCAAACATCGTACTATTGGACTGTGATATCGATGAAGTTTCATTAGTATAAAAATGAATACTAGATAAGGAGAGAATATACTTGATGTGACAAGGGCTGGTATTTTGCCCGAAGTCGAAAAGGCAAAACAGAATAAGAGCAAAGATTGACAAATAGATTATATGATTTAGATGTCGAAAGAAACAGACTTCGAACGAGTGGGGTATCGTAATCGGACGCTGCGGCAATGACACTTGAAGCAAAGTTGGATATATCCAAGAAGATTTGCTGCGAAACCGCTTCTCTGCAACGGCATTATATTTGCGCTGCATCATACAGGTATGTTGGATGCCCGCATGAATATTCGTACCGCGACGCTGACTTATTTTATGTTTTGAAAAATGTCAGTGCCAAGACTTCCGTCGTCCTTTTCCAGCTCTCGTAGCTCGGGGATCATTGGTGCTGGAGGCTCGGAATGCTTCGTCACGGGCAAATTGTTTGAGCTTCCACCAAAGAGAAAGCTTGAGCGTCTCGACGATGACGGTTGGTCACTGTTTCGAAACATCTTAAACCAGCCGCTGTTGCGCTTCAATTTTCGGTCGGCCAGCAAACTAAATCCACCACGGCTCTGCGGCCGGTCGAGACCGCCCAGCACTGGCGCGCTTTGGCTGTCCGGCATCTGGCTTTCTGCAGCTGTGTTATTCAAGGTGCGTTTGCTTAATATACGCCGGAGCGCGCCCTGTCGGAGGGAATGGTCTGGGCTCAGCGGACCAGACTCTTCAGGATCGCAGGTGCTAGATTGGATACCATTGGCTTTGTTGACACCGGCTGTGCCATGAACCTGAGCGTCTTTGGCATCGAGCGCGGGGGGGGTTCGCGGCGGCGTTGGCGTCTTTGGCGACGGCAGCGGTGGTGGTATGTTGGTACCGTCTGTGATATTGCCAAAATTGAGATTCAGTGCGGGCAGTTCAAAGCGTGGCTTTTCCACAGTATTCTTTGAACGAGGTGGCATTGTCAGAGTGGACATCTTTAGACAACTTGAGGTGGCAGAGAAATGCAGCGAAAAGAAGCTTGACCGATCACCACGGCCTTGGAAAGCAGAAGGAGGGCCAGCAGCCTAACAGCTCAGTGTCCCGGCTTCTCTGAAGATAGTATTTCGCAATAAACAGTGCGAGTGATGGGTTGTCAGAATTACCAGTCCCACGGCAAGGAATCAGGTTGTCAGGTATTAATGTGTGGAAAGGAGGTAGGTCGCGTCGTTAACGCCCAGGGTCAAGCAAAATTGGAGCTCCCAGGTGGCTGGCCCTGTGCAAGGATGAGGAACTAGGTGGCGCTGGTCCCAAACTAGATACCTAGTTAGGTAGTGGACCTCAAAGAGGCTGTCGCGCTGTCAACCAGTCGGCAGCGGATAGAAATAGTTAGGTACTTTTCCATCTGCAAATGGCCCGGGATAACAGCCCTCAATTGCCATGATTCTCTAGTGTGTGCTGGCAGACCCTGGGTTCCCCATGCACCATGCTTGCCATGCTCGAAGAGGTGGAGTTCGAAAAAAGAGTTGTCTGCCTGTTTGTCTGCCTGCCGTGGGGAAGGCTTGGAACCTGCTGTGTCAATGCAGATGGGTGGGTAATAGATGAGGTGTTCGGAGACTGTAAATTTGTGCCTGATAAGGTAGTGACATCTGACAGTCAGCCTCCGGATGTCGGTCGGTCCAAGCTCATAAATAGACCGATTGTCTGGTCACACCTGGCACCGAAATGAATTCGTCGTCGGCGCGGAAGCATTAAGCAGCCTGCTCCAGAGGTTGTCCTGACAGCAAGACCGCAATACATCCATCATTCTACACCTATCGCAGAATAACAGGGGACTTGATCTACGCGGCGTTGTAGCCCTCCTCAAGCAAGCCCACTCTTCCTCAACCAAACCTGGCCTGGCTGTGGTGCCCCGCAACGTCATGGATGACTTAAAAACTGGTTAATCTCCATATTATTAATAATGAGGCCGAGACGGCGCTCCTCCGCGCCGTGCTACGATGTAAACAAGAACAAGCCAATCACCTGATTACAGCTAGCTATGGTATGCACAAGTACTCGACCGCTCGCAGCTGGACTCCTCTCACGGATACTGCGGCTATCAGCGACTTTCAATGCATCTCGACTTCCCGTCATCGCCAGACGATGCAAATCCGGTCCTTACGGCTACACGCAAGCCAAAGCGCTCGTCTTCACTAAATATGGCGAGCCGTCTGATGTTCTCAAGTGACCATTGCCCGCATATAACCTTATGTAGCTTCTAGCTAACTGATTACTCTCGGCAGACTTCACACTCACTCAATATCCCCCTCAATCCCGCAATCTTCTGTCCTTGTCCGTTCCCTCGCCGCGCCGATCAATCCAGCCGACATAAATACTATACAGGGCACATACGGCTCAAAACCCACATTCACTTCGCTAATTGGTACTGCCGAGCCATCAGTCACGCCAGGAAGTGAAGGAGCCTTCGAAGTCGTGTCCGTTGGCGGTGCTTTCAGTGAGCTTCGAAAGGGTGATTGGGTCATTCCGGCTGTCTCGCAAATAGGAACGTGGCGAACACATGCTGTGTTTGACTCAAAACAGCTTCTCAGGGTTGACCGGGAATGCTTGACACCGATCCAGGTAGCAACTGTCAGCGTCAATCCATGCTCTGCTTACAAAATGCTTCGCTGCTATGGCCCCAGTGCCGGGTTCAAGTCTGGACTGGGAATGAAACCTCTTGATGTGGGCAGTGGGCAATGGTTCATCCAGAATGGTGCTAATTCTGGTGTCGGGAGGGCTGCAATCCAGTTTGGCAAACTTTGGGGCCTGAGAAGCATCAACGTAGTCCGCGACCGAGACTCCTCCGAGGCGACTGAGTCTCTCAAGCACAATCTTCATGCATTGGGGGCTGATGTCGTTGTTACCGAATCTCAATTTTTATCACGCGAATGGAAAGATCAGCTTGCGGACATTACGCGGAACGGCCGCGACAGCATCGGGCTTGCTCTCAACTGTGTTGGAGGCAAGTCGGCCACGACTCTTGCGAGGGCTTTAGGTAAAGGCGGTACTTTGGTCTCATATGGAGGCATGTCCAGGCAGCCTATTACTCTTCCCGTTGGACTCTTGATCTTCAAAGATATTCGTTTTGTCGGATTCTGGCTTTCCACTTGGAATGAGCGTGATGTGCTGGGTAAGAAGCACATGGTTGATGATATCCTTGACATGATGCGCCAAGATAAATTTTCCGATGTTCCCATCGAGGAGGTCCCATGGAACTGGGACACTGAGGAGAAGCAGCTTCAAGACGCTGTGCAGTCCGGACTTGCTGGGTTCAGATCCGGGAAAGGTGTCTTTTTATTTGGCGAGACATGAACACACGTTGTCAAATGTGTATTAGAATATAGTAGCAGCTCAACTTCTCAATGCCTGAGCCCACTCGTGCAGCTTGTCAATGACTACAGGAGCGTAAGATGCCAACGCATCATCAATGACCCTACCAAGAGACACCATTGCTTCCTCCTCGTTCAGCTCTAGATGAAAGCGTTCCCGAACTTTTATCACGGCCTTGTCCGGCTCAAGTCTAATATCAGGGATGTTGGCATCTATCATCAGACTAAACAGGTTTAGAATCAAGTTGGAGGATTTCCTTAGGGCAGCATAAGCCAAGAAGCAGTACTGCCGGAATTGTTTATAGTACTCCGATTGCACTCCGCCCATGCAGTCGACCATCTCCTTCGATAACTTCATCAGAGGTGCAAAAGGCTTAGGATCGCGGCCGAGAATATACCCAAAATCCGCATGGAAAAAGTGGCCATCAGGTGCCAAAAGCAGATTGTCCAAATGACGGTCACCTACTCCGAGGATATACGTGATGACACAGTATCCAGCACAGGAACGGATATATGTGTCAAGTGCCTCTTGTCGAACTCCCAGAGGCTGCATGTTGTCTGGATTATGATATCTCAAGTATGCCAGAGCTGGGTTGTTCTTGTACTTGCCAACAATGCTAGATAAGCTCTGCGATTGTACGAACTGCGACGCTCCCGCAGCCGTACTTGTGGCTAGGATCTTGTATGGAAGAAGTTTCAAGTCCAAATTCTCTTTTTGAAGAAGCTGATCCATTAATGTAATAATTTGTATCACAAGCTGATCTTGACGAAGATCATCTCCAACCTTGAAGATTATTGGATAGCTTTCACCATCAATAGTTTTGAAACTGCACTTGATGGGGCTTAGCGACGACTTGAAGACCGTGACTTGATCAGGTAGAATGCCGGTTATCTTGATTGAAGGGTCCAAAGGTAATGGCAGCGGGGGATCGATGACGATGAGCTCGTTGCTCGGGTCCGCGAAAAGGGTTTTCACCTTGTCAGCTCTCTTAGACATGGATTCACCAGATTTTCTCACGTCGATAGCGATTTTTGACAACACAGAAACGAGCTCCGCTTGTCGTAGTAGTGTCTTTCTCTCGTCGTCACCATTTGGCTGCTTAGTCAGACTTCGCATGAAGTCATATGCAACTTTGTTGTAGATGTCGCGGCTGTGCGCGCCTTGCTCTGGGCTGTTATCATCGCATTCTACCATCAGATACCAGTAGAAGTAGTTGCCAAGAAGAAAATTTGAGGCCGCTCGTTGTATCAAGAAACGAGCTAGTGATGAGTCCTCGAGCGCACCCTCTACAGTCTCTGTAGAGATATGTTCATACTTCAATGCTTGCACAAGTTGCAGCAAATATAACAGCAGCTCATGGTCGTCGGCCTTACGCAAACGGTCCACAGCATATGAACGCACGCCGGGGCTGCTGAATGATGACCCAAGCAACTCGAGAGCGTCATCAACATCAATCTCGGTCCACCTTCCAAGGACCTGAATAGCTTGCTTTGATTCACTTTGATCGTTCCAATTGACGGACTTGGCAAATTTGGTAAGAGCTCTCTTGTCCCTGGTGAGATGATATCTGAATTTCCAGACAAGATCCATCTCTTCTGGAGACAATGTGTGGGTTGGTGAATAGTTCATGATGGTGTTCAGCTCATCGCGGACTTTTGCGTTCGGTTTCAGATCCTTGTCCAATATTCCATGGCGATGAGAGCTTCTGAATAGTCGTCTGTGCTTCGTTTCTGCAGGATTGTCTCTTTGGCCGACTTCTGGATCATATACCTTCGCTATTCTTGCACCAATTGCCGACAGACTGTCATCAACAGCATTGATTCCAGGAAAAAATTGGACCTCGGGAGCTTGTTGCCGATGTTGTCCAGGCTGATGAAAGTGCACAGTTGCCAGGGCAGATATCGGCAGAACATGATACTCGTGGTCGCCAAACACGACTGGGAAATCAAATCTCGGGAGCTCCACATTGAGAATGAACGCTGGCGGGCTCGAGTAGTCGATTGTCTGATCTGCTACGTCGTCTGGGGACTCACTCTTGCGGCTAACAAGTCGTCGTCGCCGCTGCAGCATCTTCAAAGATGATTCCGCTGCTTTGAGACCGCGGTTCTCAAAGTCCCGAAACACCAATTGGTCGAGCCAGTCAATTTTGGGAATATCTCCCATCTCATGCTTCTTAAAAAGGCTCTCCATTCGCTTCAATTCTTCTGCATCACGAGCAGCCTGGATGCCAACTTCTCCAGTCAGCGCCTTTTTCCTAGATGTAAGAATAGCTGGTGTTTCCGTTCTCGCGGTTCCATCTGCCATCTTATGCCTATGTACAAGGCACTTTTGGCGTCCTTTCCTGGTTTGGTTTTCAGCATCGAACATGGGCAGTGTCGTTCCACCAAAGGGAATAGCGTTCCCTTGCGAATCTTTTCCACCATTGGGAGAGAGATCCCATATAGTGATGGCAATACATGAATCTGATGGGAGCGATCTATAAGATATGGGTAGCTGCAGCCATTCATTCCAGCTACATGAGGATCAGTATAGTTGGAGAGAGCGCGAGGTCGAGTGTCATACCGTCGCTCCGCGCGGAAAGGCTTGTATGCTGTTTGCACAGGAACCGTGAGAGCCTTGGAACCAGCCCAAACTTGAGATGTGACAAAGAGATCTGAATAGACGCTATACCATGTTAGTTGCATGGAGCGCAGACCTCACGCGGGAAGGCACGTACCTCATATTTGATCCAACATGGCGCAGATCAGAGCGGCTTAACAAGGTAGATTGCTTCAACAATTCCACTTCACCTTCCAAGTTCATACTGCAAGGTGTTAGTCTCGCGTTTCTCCAACGCTGCGGCATCGTCAGACTTGCATTCGGATGCTGACGGGGTGATCAACGTCATTTGAGCCAGCAAATGAGAACGGTTCCATCTTTCCATACTCTGCCATTTTCATCGGATGTATGGCCACATGTTAGAAAGATATACGCCGGTGAATGTATGCGCCGGAGAAGAGACTACAGAGGTGTCGATAGTGTTTGCTTTCACAATGAACCGCTCGTCCTGAGTGTTGGAAGGGAACAGTTAGCGGGGTGGGTAAATAACTAGGCAGGTACGTGGGTACGGTATTTACCGACAGCACCCCACAAAAGGTTAGTTGTTTCTTTGACGAAGCCTACTTTACGTTAAGTAACAGGATGAGTGTAAAGCCTTCTAGCATGCGCAATTTTATATAAAAAAAGAGTAGTTTTTTTTAAGAAAAAATTTTAATAGATAATTAATCTAGCTTCAATATTATATATAATACCTATTTATAACCTATACTATAAATTAATATAGAATTAAAGTACTTTATTATTATTAGTAAAGATTATTAATTTTTTAGGCTATTTCTTAGAATTAATTATTTAATATTAAAGTTAATATATTATATAGGCTTAGCCGCGAGTGTATAGTGGCCGTAACACTATCCAACACCTGGGTGTGTGGCACGTGTAATACAGGAGAGATAATGTTACGTTGACCAAATGTGAAAACGTGATTGATTTATTTCTTTGCTCGCACAGCCTGTTTCTGCTATTTCTGCTTGACTCTTTGACATGGTAGCTCATTTCGTGGCAAAATCACATTGCCACGAGGTGCATAGAAATCTGCGCCTTTACATGCTCTTCGCACACAGAACTCTCAACAAAAGAAAGGAAGCTAAGTATTCCAGTTCATGCGTAGTATGAAACGGACTGACCACCAAACTCCGAATGCCTTCAAGAGCTCAGTTCTTGCTATCCAAGTGCCAGTCAAAGATTCTGTCAAAAACCTTCTTGGCATCGCCTTCAATGACATCGCCGTGGCATGGAATCAGAGTATGGAAATCCCAGCCGGCAATGACCTTTAAGCTGTCGTTGTAGCTGGGTCTATCCTTCGCAAGTATATACCAATTGAATCTTTTGATCCATTTACCTTCACCCTCGGTACTCTGAAGTTTTGCAAACAATCTGTCCACCACACCTGACGCCTGGCGCTCCCCTTCCGGAACTTTACTGTACTGTTCGGTGGCAGGTAGATTGAACAGCAAGTCAGCCTCAATTAATACCTTTTCGGGCTTGTAGCAGAAAACTAGCTCGCGATTGGCATGGCCATCGACATATTCGTAGTCGAAATCGACATCGAACTCTTTGCTGATCTTGATCTCACGTTTCTTCTCAGACGTAAACACAACTGCAAACTCTTCTTTGCCAATTTTTGGATCGTTCTGCTGGGCTCGCTTCTCTGGCAGGCCGTGGGGACCGACAATCTTCGCTTCAGGGTACTCTTTCGCCCATTCCGATAGGAAGATGTGGTGCTCAATATCCAATGCAACCAAGTAGCCGACTTTGCCACCCATTTCCGTTACTTTGCATTTGGCTGCGTTCGTCAGCGCGACGGGAGAAAACGCAGCTAAAGAGCCCGATGTCAGTTTCACTGCATTTACAGATTAGCTTCTAATCTTGGTCTGCACAGTCCACATTACTACCCAAGGTCCCTCGGCCACCTATTTTAGCCTTGCCGAATCTGGCGAACGGGACAGAGAATGTCACAATGTTGGGAGTGACATTGCGGATAACCATGACATCCGATGGTCTGGAAGGAATACAATCCGTCGACATCATGCGTACAAATTTTCGACGATATGCTGAACTTTTCTGTGTAGGAATTACGCGACAATTGGTGATCCGTAACATGGCCATCAAAGGTAGGGTGTACGGGCCAGCAGCATATATAAGTGAATGATAAAAGAGCCTGGCGGATCCAGTCCGGCGTCCATTGCGTCAGAAGCCTATCCTAGCGCCAACTATTGTAAGATGGCATGTGTCATCAGCGCATCACTCACTAGGTTTGGCCCGGACCACTCGCATTGAGCTTAGGATCCAAATCGTGTAAATCGACAGTTTCGGCGGCTTGGGCGGGTTTGGTACACCGTACGCCTCGGTACATACGACGATCCCATAATCTAACTATTGACAAGCCTCTAAATACTAGGGCCCGCTCTGCAAATCTCCGATAGTCAAGTTGAAGTGATGAAAGGAAGATGTCTAATTTCTCTGTATAGTGTTTCTCTTCTTAACAGGAGTAGATCCCTTCTACATACGTTTATTACTTCCATAGTTCTTTTCGTGATTCAATGCCTTCAGCACGAGGGAAGGCGAACACTCTGTGACTCTATTCACCGGAGGTTGCAGTCACTAATAGACTCTCGGATGGCGACAGGCTTTTCGACCAGGCAGCGCAACAAACAGGCATCGGAGTGCCAAAAAGTCCGAAGAGATGTATTTTTGGTCCAAAGTTTCACTGCACTGCTCACGGGTATTTCTCATCCTCTTGGCGACAGAATTGGGGGCTTACCAATCACAAAAGTTCGCCCGATTCGCCCGATTCGCGCTTTCTCGCAGTTGTTCAATTCGTTCCTCCAATGCTACTTGTGTTTATCCCATGCAGCCGGTAGGAAAATTTGCGAGGAGGTAGGCTCTCGTAAGTCCATTTGCTCCGAGCCAAAGATTACACCAACAGCCAGAAGAACAATGCAAACTGCCCATGCTGGAAGCCGAGTACCTATGAAAAACCGGAGACGAATGGTTAACTCTTCGCTCGGACGCCTCATAAATGCTGTCCCTGTCCTGCGCTTTGCCAATAGAATTCATGTCAACTTGGCGAAACACTGTATTTCGAAGGTTTGGTCTCTGCTCTGCGCCATGGCTCCGCAGCTGCCCACGTTGACGGACGCCCTGCTCGAAATCGAAGCTACCCGTGCCGTTATTATCCGTACGACTTGCCGACGACAAGCCCGGAAGGATACCTCTCTCGCGGCGCTCTTTGTAACCCGCTTCGATGATGACAATTACCGCATCTTCTCATCAATCGGCGTCACAGGTCGATTTCTTTTTGTCCAGGTGACAATCTCGTGGCTTTGGGATAATGCTGCGGTCGCATTTGGTGCTTCCAGGCCGCTAGCTACATACAGTGCTTTGTGTGTGCAGCTCGAGGTTCTTGTTTTCCAGTTCTGTAAACGTGCGGCTAAATTGCCGAACCGTCAGAATTTCCAATTCTCGAAATTCCGCTTTTCCTCTTTAATGCCTCACTTTCTTCGGCAAGATCCCAGATCAAGCTCTTGGATGCGAAGCCTGAGTTCCCTCCGTACTATCTCAATCGCTTCCTTTTTCATGGATTTGCGCTCCTTCCTAAGCTCATCCTGGTCATCTTTTCCACTTGCAGTCCCTTCTCTGTCACTGGTGATATCATATGTTCACTAGCCTCCACCCGGGCTTTCCAAGCCTCTGAGATTTGCTCGGCGAGACAAGCCATGTTTATGGAGTGTTTCGCACGCGCATGCTGGGCGCCTTCATCTTTTGGCCATTCGATATGATCGGCTATCTCTTCGAATCCGTTGCCCCTCGTTCTGTGCGTTGAACGGTGCGTGTCAAGCATGCCAACCATGTGATCTGCAATTACAGCCACAGGGCGACGGTATATTTCAGGTTTAATAGTTCACAGTGCTACTCAGTTCAAGTCAATGTAAAGCTTTGATTCTGGCAATCTACACAGCCGGCGGCGTCTTTTTTTTTCGGCTTTTATCCGGGCTGGTGTAGCATTGTATTAACCTAAAAAATACAGGTATGATCGGGAATTACTTGCAAGATCTTGACTTTTTGATGACTTATCATTCCATGGTCTCCTTTGTTCTATTCCGTCTGCAAGCTTTGTGCTAAGAGATAGCCTTTAATCTCGTTTGCACCAACCTATGCCGACGGTGAGATGGCCCACCGTGTTCTTTGTGTGGCCTTTGTGTGAGTGATCAAACTGGCACCGAATGAGCAGCATGAGAGAGGAAAGGGACTTGATTCACCTTCCTTCTGGCTGGCAGGCATCATACTCGCCAGACCCAAAGTGTGTGCTTTCTGACGTTCAGCTATACCAGCCTCTTGCCCCCGGACCACTATCGATAGTTTCTTGTCTATGCTCGATCATGGGCTCTTTAATTTGGAGAGTTTCGACGATATCTTGCCAGGCTTGCATATCGATGGATAATATGGCTTGGTGTTTTGCGGAACTCTGGCGCACCGATTCATCCTCATGTTCCTCGCGGACAACAGGCGCTGTACTTTCCCTGTGAGCTGCGTCATTCGAAGGTAAGAGGGGGGGCAGACTTACCTAGTGCAGGCAGGTCGTATTCGTCGTACTCGATTTCGATCCTTCCGTCCCGGATTAGAAAACTCACGTAGAACATATTCTCGACAGTTTGTCCAAAAGACTTCGGGTTGATCACGAATCTCAAAAGATCTATACCGCCGGTTCGCCGTAGTCCGTGTTTGTGCATGATGTCGATTTTCTCCTCGTCACTCATCTCGTCGTGTATGGCTTCGGCCACCACCTCTTGCACCTGTTCTTGCATGTTCTGAAGTTGCTGGAAAATCTTCCCGCATATGGCAGTGAGGTCGTTTTCTTTCTTGGCCAGGTCATCGATGTTCAGGATTTCCGGCCTCGTTTCGGCGAGGTTATTTGGTTTGAACGGAGCGCTGCGTTTAGCAACTCTCCGTATTTTCCTCTCCACTGATAATGGACCTAAAAGCAGCCCCGGCAGTGCTGGTCTTCTTGAGTGCGGAAGGCATGCAAATCGGCCTAGTTCGGCCCAGTTCATCATGTCACCATCTCTATCTTCGGTGTCGTCGATTCCAGTGGCAATTTCTCTCTGGCGTCGCTGTTGTGTTGCCGAATTTCGCTCTCCTTCTTGTCCTTCGTCTTGGTCGTATTCTGCTTGTTGCCCGTTGGCATCCGAAATTTCACGTTCTTGGCGCATGAATGTTATGCATTTGGAGACAAACTCGTCCACGTCGACGCCTCGGGAAAGGCTACCCTGTGTGAGCCGCAGCGTTTTCCGGTACGAGAGGTCCGTTGTGCTGACAAGTAGTCGTGAGTCTATCGTAGCTTCTGTGGTTTGGCGAACTTGTTTCGTAAGCTCATTTGCTTTGATTATGGTGTCATATAGCCCATGTGAGCCAGACCTGAGATATTCCTCTGAGTTTTCTGTCACATCGCGGAGGAGTTCTCTGAAGCTTCTCTGGACCTTTCGACGGTCTGCCAGTGGTTGATCTGGGTCGTACACGTCGCCGTCGTGGTCATAGCTTTTCGTACTTTCCGGTGTTGAGGCAGGGGATGCCGCGTTGGCGGCAACGGCTGCATTTCCATGGTTTCTCTTTCTCTTGTTTCCAATTGCGCTGCATTGTACAGTTCGACGTGGATCCTGTTGAGCACTGGGTGGTGAACTGGCGGTGTCTCGTTCGTTTGGAAGGTCCGCCTGCATTCTGCCGCCGACACTTGGTTTTGATGGTTTTGATGTGCTGGTGCGCCGATATCCCTTACGTCTTTGTCAATGGGTTGGTTGAGTTTAATTAGTGGAGACGACAGCGACGCGTCACTGCAAAGCTACCCTGTAATCATGCCGTTCATGTAACGATTCCTGTACCGTCACGCCAACTGGCAGAAGACAAAGCATTAATGTCAGTATGGGCATTTACAAGTCAGCTTTCAAGGGTTATCTAACCCGCTTGTTGGTGATCCTGTAGGCGACTTTATTTTTATAAAAATAAAAGTACTAGATAAATTATAAGAGTTTAATTAAAGTAATTTAATTAATTAATAGGGTTAGTTAATATAAAATAATAATAATAATAATAGTACTTTTAAATTAGTATAACATAGTTAATAAGCGAGCGGCGTAGATAAGT